TTCTTCTTCTTCTTCTTTTCATTCTTCTTCTTCTTCTTCTTTTCATTCTTCCTCTTCTTCTTTTCATTCTTCTTTTCATTCTTCTCATTCTTCTTTTCATTCTTCTTCTTCTTTCTTTTCATTCTTCTTCTTCTTTTCATTCTTCCTCTTCTTCTTTTCATTCTTCTTTTCATTCTTCTCATTCTTCTTTTCATTCTTCTTCTTCTTCTTTTCATTCTTCTTTTCATTCTTCTTTTCATTCTTCTTTTCATTCTTCTTCTTCTTCTTTTCATTCTTCTTCTTCTTCTTTTCATTCTTCTTCTCTTCTTCTTTTCATTCTTCTTCTTCTTCTTCTTCTTCTTCGTCGCGCCCCGTGACTGCCCAAATGAGTGAAGTGTGCGGTGATTCTAAGATCGACGGCACTCATCTGCATGTCATACTGACTGACAGTATTATTTCTCTTCCCCAGCAGACTCCAAGGGCATTTAAATTAAAGGTACAGTGTTCTGCACTAATATAAAGGCTCTCTGAAGCCTAGAAACCCTTTTAATAAGTTAAATTCGCGGCGAATAAATTCGCATCGAATCGAATTTCTCCCGCAAATTCAGCGAATCAGCCGAATCGAATTTTTGAATAATTCGCTCATCTCTATTCAGTATATTTCATAACAGGGCTGTAGATTTTTTTTTTTCTGGGGGGGGTTCAGCTTACAGTTGAGCTGCATTTTTAATGCTCCCCACCAACTTTTCTCCCTTGAGTTCTAAAGGCAGCTGACGGTGGCAACAGCTATAAATGCTGGACAGGCAGTAGCACCCATCAAATGTGACTCATTCACCATGCGGTAGCGGTGCAGGTTTGTACGGGTTAGACAGGGGAAAAAGAAGCAACATTAACCACTTCCTGCTCGGCCTATAGTCAAATGATGGCCGGGGGGGACATTCACCATTCCAGGTGGACGTCTTATGATGTCCTCCTGGAAAGGGCCATGCTGCGGCGAGATCTGTCACCCGCTGTGTCCACCAGACACAGTGGATGACTGATCAGTGTACCTGCCACTGCCGATACCATGTGATCGCTGTGACCAATTGCAGCAAATCCCATGACAATTATACACAATGGATGGCATTCATTCATATGTACACTATATTGCCAAAAAATATTGGGATTCCTGCTTTTACACGCACATGAACTTTGACCACTTGCTTGCCGGACATTTATATCCCCTCCGTGCCCCAGGCAATTTTCAGCTTTCAGCGCTGTCACACTTTGAATTACAATTGCGTGGTCATGCAACACTGTACCTATATGAAATTTTTATAATTTTTCTTTTTCACAAATAGAGCTTTCTTTTGATGGTATTTACTTGCCACTGGGTGTTTTATTTTTTGCACTATAAACAAAAAAAGAACAAAAAATTTGAAAAAAAAAGTTTTTCTTTGTTTCTATTATAAAATTTTGCGAACAGGTAATTTTTCTCCTTCACTGATATGCAATGATGAGGCTGCACTGATAGGCAACACTGATGGTCACTGATAGGCGGCACTGATGATGCTGCACTGATAGGCAGCATTGATGGACACTGATGGGCAGCATGGACTGACGGCACTGATGGCTCTGACCGGTGGGCACTGATGGGTGGCACCGCTGGGCAGCACTGATGGGGGGGCACTGCTGGGCTCCGGTGGGTGGCACTGCTGGGCACTGATCATCAGTGTCCTGATGATCAATGCTGATCTGTTCTCTGACAATTCCCGGTTATTGGCAGTACTTTCCTCATGCTGTGACAGCGTGAGGAAAGTGCAGCCGATAATTGACATCATGTGATCAGCTGAGTACATAGGACACAGCAATCATGGAGATCACTATAGGATGCCTTACCCAGAACTGGACAACCGCGTTGTATAGCCGTCATTCGGCTATAGCGCAGTTGCCAAGTCGTTAATGGCATCCCAGTCCGTAGAGTTCAATATTGAGTTGGCCCACCCTTTGCATATAACAGCTTCAACTCTTCTGGAAAGGCTGTCCACAGGGTTTAGGAGTGTGTCTATGGGAATGTTTGAAATTCTTCCAGAAGTGCAGGCCAGGCACTGATGTTGGACAAGAAGACCTGGTTCACAGTCTCCACTCTAATTCATCCCAAAGGTTTCTATTGGGTTGAGGTCAGGACTCTGTGCAGGCCAGTCAAGTTCCTCCACGCCAAACTTGCTCATCCCATGTCTTTATGGACCTTGCTTTGTGCACTGGTGTGCAGTCATGTTGGAACAGGAAGGGGCCATCCCCAAACTATTCCCACAAAGTTGGAAGCAGGAAATTGTTCAAAATGTCTTGGTATGCTGACGTCTTAAGAGTTCCCTTCACTGGAACTAAGGGGCCAAGCCCAACCCATGAAAAATAACCCCACACCATAATCCACCCTCCACCAAACTTTACACTTGCACAATGCAGTCAGGCAAGTACTGTTCTCCTGGCAACCGGCAATTCCAGACACGTCCATCAGATTGCCAGACAGAGAAGCGTTATTCATCACTCCAGAGAACACGTCTCCAGTGCTCTAGAGCCCAGTGGCGGTGTGCTTCACACCACTGCATCCAACGCTTTGCATTGCATTTTGGTGATGTATGGCTTGGATGCAGCTGCTCGGCCATGAAAACCTATTCCATGAATCTCTCTATGCACTGTTGTTGTGCTAGTCTGAAGGCCACACACAGTTTGGAGGTCTTTAACTATTGACTCTGCAGACAGCGACTTCTGCGCACTGTGCGCTTCAGCATGTGCTGACCCCGCTCTGTCATTTTAGGTGGCTTACTACTTTGTGGCTGAGTTGCTGTTGTTCCCAGTTGCTTCCACTTTGTTATAATACCACTGATCGTGAACAGTTGATCGTGGAATATTTAGTAGCAAGAAAAATTTCACGGATGGACTTAATGCACAGGTGGCAACCTATCACTGTACCACGCTTGAATTCACTTAGCTCCTGAGAGCGACCCATTCTTGCACAAATGTTTGTAGAAGCAGTCTGCATGCCTAAGTGCTTGATTGTATACACCTGTATCCATGGAGGTGATTGGAACACCTGTATCCAATGATTTGGAGGGGTGTCCCAATACTTTTGGCAATATAGCGTATATTCATTACAAAGCTAATCTCACGCTGGACAATAATATGCATGTTAGCAGTCTATAAGCAGTAGTATTCAGAGATATGAATATGTATAGAAAACTGTATTTGGGACTTGGTCATAATTGTGGTGACATCCCAGCAACCACCCCTTAGACTGGATGATTGGTCAGATGGTCTCTGTCAACACCCTCCTTTATGTAAAGAGTGGAATGCCACCACATTTTGACAGCTCTCTTTTAACATCAAACCAAGGAAAACCTAACTGGGCTTGAGAGAGCCACTGTACCACCTTTGCTTATCCATTGGACTCTGCTGAAACCATGACATGGTTAAGTATTCTCACCCTCTACTCCCTTTTTTTTCATCTGTTGCATTGTTGTCTCTTTGTAATATCTTTTTTTGTAAATATCTAATTTGCGCCAGTTTGACCATTTCATTTTTAATCCTATTTTGAAAAAGTGTTGGAATTGTCTCTAAGGCTCTAATGCAAACTAAATTACTTCCTGTCTTTTGAAGAGCGCTACTGTATATGATAAATCTCTGAATATACCTGTCTGTGGTCTCTTCAGTAAAAGTGGCAGTTTAAAGAGTTAACTGCTTAGTTAACTAAACCCTGTGACAATTACACTCAGTCTGTTGGCACCTAGATTGTGGTCCCACGAGGGGTGAGGTTGGCCAGTCCTTTGTCACAGGTTGGTGAAGAGGGCTGTGGTCGGACACCCACGTTTCATCACAATAATAGTTTATCTTGGGCCAATGTAGTTGTAACTCGGTATATACCATACATGGCTGATGCCCCTGAAACCTAGAAATCAATGAAACAGACACTGCTACTGCAGTGATTTCCACCTGTTTTTGGGTCCTGTAACTTTGCATCGTTATGGGCCTAGCTCTTCGCTGGGCCTCTCCACCTTGTTCAATCAGTTAAGTCTTTACATTTATTCCAAAAATGCACAGCATTCTCTGAAATGAGCCCATAAAGAGTGTGTTCAGTAGCCAGAAGTGCAGCCCGGGACCCAAAAGGAGGTGGAGTTATTTTCCAACTTCCAGGGGAATTAGCCAAGTATAGTATAAACATAGTTACATTAGTCCAAGCTGAATCAATGTAACTACAGTATGTATAATATAGCCATGCCTGAAATGATTCTTTATGCACCAAATTATGGACATTTTTTACACAGGTTTGCTTTCACAGCTTCAAGAAACCTGACAGTCTAAACAGACTTTTGGATGCTTGCTGAATGGGTGTGAGGACTAGATCTTAATCTGTAGGTGTATATAAGCATGCAGATTTCAGTATATCCCAGAACAGCTATGGTCACTGAGGTGAGAGCTACCCAACTCAGGTACCACATTATAATCACTGTGGCATTAATCACATTACTCGGCAGTGCTACCAGAACACTGCCTTGCCAGTTAAATAATGGTCTCTCTCTCTGCTTCAAAAAGCAGAGAGAAATGTTGCTTTAATGTGTTGCTACAATTTATAGTTTAGAAACAAGTAAATAAGAACATAAGATCCAATGAAAATATGGAAAATCCATGATTAAATACATTTGGCCTGGAAATGCAGTGTTTGAGTGCCATGCATATAAACTAGCAGGCGTAGATAAATTCACAAATATTTTCCAGAGACAAAACAAAAAGCAGAAAATACTATTTTCGTGATTTACATATGTATTGCTTGTAACAATTGTGAAAATGATAAATAAATAATACAGACTGAATGAAGTGCTGGGTGGAACAGATATCAGATCATTCCCATTGTTAGAACAATCAGTGGTTTAATTTTTCCAGGAATCATGTTACATTTGTGTTTCTTGTAGCACCAATAATCATTAGCAATGGAACCAACAGATCACTGTGACTCAGCTCAGGTGTTTTCTTACTCAGAGGAGGTTCTATAATGACACAACTTGTGTGCAGAAGATAATCTGGTAGGTTTCCGTAATATCACCTTTCAATGTCAGTTTTGCTGTGGTGGTTTCAGGTTTATTTGGCTGTGAACAAGAAAACAAAAAACAAATGTGGAATAATAAATTTAGCTTAAAAATATACTTGTTTCCCCCAAGCATGTTGTCATTCACTGCCGCCATTGCATTTGCAGTGTTATTTTTGAAATGTTTTGCCTCTACAACCATAAAACAATTTTTGAAATCCATATGATATAATTGATTCTCTTCTAAAGCTGGCATACACTGATCGAGATTCAGCCAGTTCAGTAGGGTGTGGCCATCCATGCTCTAGAGAAGTTGATCGAAGGGACATGCTGGAAAACTTCTGGTGATCAGCAGCTGCAGCCAATAATTAGTGTATTTCAACAACTGCAGGTTCTGCTGTCAGAATACAATGTCCCAGCATAGGTATCCCTCCATTCAATCCATTTGACAGAGGAACCTATTCGTTTTTGTTCACTGTCTATTGCCAGCTTTAGCCTTTTGCAGATCTAAGGCACCAGGAAAAAGCTCTGGTATGCTGCTAATGTTATTTCCTGAATCTACATGTCCTATGATTTTTTTTTTGTTAGTTTCTGGGTGGCTACGGATGGTGAAAGCTGCACTTACCTGTAGAAATTTACAGCTGTAAAAAAATGAAAAAAAAAATGTACGAGCATGTACACTCAACAGCCACTTTATTAAGTACACCTTGCTAGTGCCAAGAAAATATCCCCCACACCATAACACCACTGCCAGCCTGAACCGTTGATACAAGGCAGGATGGATCCATGCTTTCATGTTTTTTATGCCAAATTTTGACCCCACCATCTGAATGTTGCAGCAACCAGTCTGCCCATTTTCCTCTGACATCAACAAGGCATTTTCATATATAAAAACTGCTGCTCACTGGATATCTTCTCTTTTTTGGACCATTTTCTGTAAACTTTGGAGATGGTTGTATATGAAAATCTCAGTAAATTAGCAGTTTTTTAAATACTCAGACCAGCCCATCTGACATCAACAACCATGCCACGTTCAACGTCACATAAATCCCCTTTATTCCCCATTCTGATGTTCGGTTTGAACTTCAGCAAGTCATCTTCACCACATCTACATGCCTAAATGCATTGAGTTGCTGCCATGTGTGATTGGCTGATTAGCAATTTGTGTTACCAAGCAATTGAACAGGTGTACCTAACAAAGTAGCTGGCGAGTGTATTTCTACCTGCAGGGTGTAAGAGTATATTGGCTTCGTATGCACGCTGCATGTCTACTACAGACAGGGCTTGGAAGGTAGGCTTTACTGGGTAAGATTCTATGGTACTTGAAATCCATTCAATCCGACCCAGCAGCATCACCGTTCGTAATGTTTTGATGCGACCTCTGTAGTCTCAAGGACTACAGAAAAGAGTCTAAATGACACGGCTTCTGACAGAAAATGGATGTCCAATGCTTACTGTCTCATAGCCAGAAGCATGGCATTCAGCTGAAGCAGGAATTATTTACATTGCTATTACTGACACTCTGGCAACATAAGAGGAATATGCATGCCAGGACAGATTTCAGAAGGTATGTATAAAAGTACTCTTAATTTTATTTAAAAAGTTGGAGTTCCACTTTAAATTGTATCTAGCGCCAAAACTTTTTAAGTAGTCAAGAATTTAAACCTTCCTTTCTCTTCCCCCCTCAGATTTTAATCTCCAAGTAAAGTGGACTAAAAAAAGTATAACAAATCACAGGATCAAGTGTCCGAAAATATATATTTCATCTTATGTGTCCACGGTAACAATGTACTGTGGATACATATGAAAGAATAAATGCTAGATCAGGGGTGCCCAACCTGCCGCCCAAAGCGGCTATGAATGCGGCCCAGGGCACAGGTATCTCTTGTTTGTTTTTTTTTTTTATGAATGTGGCCCAACACAAAATTGTAAACTTACTTTAAAAATGGTGATTTTTTTTTCTTTTTTGTAAGATTAAGTTTACACTTATTAAAACATGCAGCTGAAGAAACAGTTGACAGTATCTCTTTACTGGACTTATATCAGTTTTATCCTCCCAAAGAATAATATCTCAGTCTTCACAATCACACCTTATTTATGTTATCAGTTTTCACACACACGAAGGGCAAAACTAGATTTAAAATATCTGATGAGCACCTTGAAAATTCATTGAGAATTGTTACTACATCTATCGAGCCAGATATTAATGGATTAGTTTATCAAAAACAGTGTCAAATATCACACTAGTTTTATGTTGCCCTCTTACTTTTATAACCTTTTTCTGCTCATCAGCTCTCCTTATTGTTAGTATATTTTATGTGTGGCCCAAGACAATTCCGCTTCTTCCAATGCGGCCCAGGAAAATCAAATGGTTGGACACCCCTGTTCTAGATCATTTGGTGTGGTGCACTTTATCTACTTTTTCCATTTTTTTTCTAAGCTGTCCAAGCAGGCTGTCCCAGTGCCATCACAGGGTCCTTTAGCCCTCAAAAAGTGCAAACACCTGCATCCCACATCTCTCATAATCTGTAAACTACTTGAGCAGCATAGGTTGCAAGTTCTGCCCTTTTTGTGCCCCTCGTGCTGAAGTGCCCAAGTTCCATGCCTAACATAACCAGCACCCTTACACTCCTTCTTTAATAAAATACTTTAATATGCGAGATCCATTTAGGAACAATTTTGAATTTAAAGCCTCCTTTGTAAACATCAGCTGTTTATTGATGTCTATGTTCTCTTTAGACAGATTTACTGGTTCTATTTGCCTTTATAATTATTTTCACCAGGAATGAAATTGAGGGAACATTCAAAATTTGCGGTTGTCACCAAAACAGTAATAAAGGGGCAATAATCCATTGGGAATCTGTGTTCTCTAAATTTGACTTAGGATTTTTGTGACTGCACTATGTTAGCCATGTTGTTTCCTATTTCCTTTGCAGTTTGTCCTCCTAGGCCAATGAAACCCCTTGAGAAAACAAAAATCAAACTTGCCTTATAGCAGGCATGGCCCTGTATATGGCCTTTTGTATTATTAAATATTTGTTACAAAATATATACATGCTTTACGCACATCGTATCCAGCAGGAGGAATCCAGTTAATAGATATGGGTTTTCTTTGACCAGCATCCACTAAGGCTTTCACTGGCTCAATGGTGAATCCTTTCTGTTGCAGGAGTTGCACATTGTCCCATGAGAATTCCACATTCTAGAGATAGAAAAAAAACAATGCACTTTAAAAGCAGAATCACAAAGCCAGCTATGCTAAATGCCCAAATTTAGGTATATTGAGCCAGCCAACCCTTCTCCATCTCTGGTTCATCTCTATTTCTGTTGCAAGAAGATTTGACTAACTATGATGATCAGGGGTGGACTAACAACTCATGGGGCCCCTGGGCAATAGGGGATCATGGGGCCCCTGTGTCCTTACCCAAACTCAAAAAAGCCTATGAAAAAGGTACCAGGGGCATCTCATGGGGCCCCCCACTGACCCCCGGCCCTCGGGCAGTGCCTGAGTTTCCAAATGGTCAGTCCGCCCCTGATGATGATATAAACTAAACATCAAAGCAGAAGTACATGCCACAATGATTCGTAGTGTGAAATGAATGTGGCCAAATGCACAGGGTTACATGATATTAGCTGTTCATATACATTTTTTATACACAATAATATGCAGAAATCCAAAGACTGCTACACTATCATACTGCGCATTGATAAAATTAAAAAAAATATCAACCAACCATGAATGTTTATATACAGCAAAGTATCCTGTCCCTCTGCAGGCTTAACCTCCCTGGCGGTCTGATTATGTACATTGTTTTCAATGGAAATATGTTGTTTTTTTATTGTAGGCCTGTAATTCTTAGGAATAACTCACTGAAATCTGTCTGAACAAGAGTCTAGTAAACATCCTGGGTATGATAAAATTTGAACCACGAAATCATAAATTATAATATAATAAAGAATCATAAAAAATAATAATATGATAATTTAATTCAATAATATAATCAAACCAAAAACACTGAAATTTGGAATAGAGCGCCAAGTTTGCACATCACTGAGCTCAGTCGCAGAATCGTTTTCAGTGTCTGATGACGAATTTCCACATGAATCATTATCGCTCAATTCTGCAAGTAGTTATAATGGTTTGATACAGTAATGTAATACTATCAGATTTTAGTGCATTGAGTGAATGTCAAATTTGAAAATTTTTGAAATTCCTGCCTGTTCCGTCCCCCGTACGTCCCGACTCTCACAGGAACCGGAACCCGAAAGCCGGCATCGACCGGTGGACATGGCCGGGACGCTGCAGGGGGGACATCGCGTGACCGCAGGACAAGGTAAGTGCCCAAGGGATCCCAATGCAACGTTGCAGTGTAATCCCAAGTGTAGCTCGGGGTTACCGCTTCTGGTATTGAAAGTTAACCCGAGCTACACTCGGGAATACCGCCAGGGGGGTTAAAACCCTTTACTCTTACCAACCATGGGTGCTAGCTTCTGGCAGATGCTGGCTGCTCCTGTAGATTCACCTCGAAACACAAAAGAAAAGAAGACACTCTCTATTAAAAACCCGATGCACGTTTATTGAACTCTTACAAGCACCAGCTGATCCTTCTGTCCCACAAGCCCACGCTTGTGAGAATGACCAGCACTGCCCTAATCTCAGTAGCAATAAACCAGGAAAATCCACCCTGAAGACTTTATTCCTGCGACATTCACTTGCCAGGGGGTGTCTACAGAGGTCACAGAATGCCAAAAGACACATGGTCATTTCCTAGTTTGGCCATAATCAGTACAATGGTAATAATCATCTTATGTCTATGGAAACATGTTTATTCAAAGCTGGAATTTGCTATGAACTGAAATGTATGGGTTACACCCCTAACTGCCAGATAGATTTGAGTGCAAAATCTGGTGCAGCTGTACATGGCAACCAATCAGCTACTGACTGCAGCTGACAAAAAAAAAAAAAAACGAAGCTGATTTGTTTCTGTGTATGGCTGCACCAGATTTTGCCATCTCTAGTCTTAGTAAATCAACCCCATAGTTGTGTCCTGGATGACAATGTAGTCATATCAGTAAACATGTACAGGGAAAGGTTGTACTCCATGACATCTTATCTTTCAACAACTCTCTTGAAGTGTACATCCAAGTCCCACTCCTCTAGAGACTGATGTAACCTGAATCAGTTAAGCATCAATTCAACATTTTTTTTTTTGTTAGCACATTAACCGATACAGTGGAGGACTGAAAGTAGTCAAGCTAAGACAGGAAGTGTTTTACCGGTCAATTACCACATGACAATAAAAGGAGAAAAAGCCTAAAAAAAAAAAAGAAAAAAAAATGCAGCCACCACATCCTATGATCAATAATAGCTGCAATAAACTGAATTTTTGTTTTTGGGTTTAGTTGTGTTTTAATGCTTGTGATATATATGATACAGTGAAGGAAATAAGTATTTGATCCCCTGCTGATTTTGAATGTATGCCCGCTCACAAAGAAATGATCAGTCTAAAAATCGAATGGTAGGTGTATTGTAGCACTAAGGGACAGAATAGCAACAAAAAATCCAAAAGAAATGCATGTCTAACAAATTATGCACTGATTTGCATGTTCATGAGGGAAATAAGTATTTGATCCCCTATCATTCAGCAGGATTTCTGGCTACCAGGTATCTTTCATACAGGTAACAAGCTGAGATTAGAAGCAGTCTCTTAAAGGGAAGATATAAAGTGCTACCACACCGTCCTATTTGTCAAAACTATAATTAAGGTACAGGGTCTAATAGGGATAGTACATCCTTGTATTTTCAGCTGGATCATGTGAACTGGTGTATGCATCTGCCTTATTTATAGCAAGTGCGTGGGACTAATAAATCATGTAGCTAAGTGGGAAGTCTCATGCTAGGACCTCATGCTGCTTAGTTATATTGGCCACGATTTTTCCCATCACTATGTCCCCAATCATTGTACTTGTTTACCTTTTTAGCTGAGGATAATAATGTGCGTATACAGCCAACGTGCAGCTCCCTGACAGCCGGCCTCAGTTCCTCCTCTGTCTGAGCACACTGCAGGGTCACGAGAAGTGTATTTTCTGGTTCATCTGCATCTTAACAAACATGGCTTATTAAGATAATGTTCCACAGTACACATGAAAACTTTCCTTGTATTAGACAGGTTCAGCTGTGCAATAAAGCTCAGTCCACAGTCTAAGTGGTGTGGTGTTATGTAAAATGTTTGCAGTGTTTGCAGAGAAAACATATGTTGCTTGTGGGGAAGAAAACAGTTTTCTATATGCTGCACAGCAACTCAAAATGGTCAATGACAGAGCTCTCTACTGACGTCAGTAGGGATATGCATCTCATTCCTCCACTTTCACAACAGTGCAGGGAAATAAAACATATGGAGCAGAACATATCAAGTGCGTTACTATTACAGCAGCAAGCATGTTTTGAATACGAGGTGATAAAAAGCACTAGCATCAAGTACAGTATTAAAATGACATGAAGAAAAGGTTTTCACACTCTTGAGAAGACATATTAAAAGAAAGTTAAAGTTGGCAAGATGAAAAAAATGCTATGAATTCTGCAAATGTACCCAATTCTTGCAATTAACAAACAGACCCCAACCCTTAGCTCACATGTGTCACCTAAACCCTAGGCAAAGATGGCATGATCCCTGGCTACTGGATGCATTGTGGGTGTTTCATGTTATTAGAAACTGAAAAGAGTCTATTGTTTTTAATCAATCTGTTGTTTTGTTAGACCTGCACTGAGACAAGGGAATCAGGTAATAAAAGACACAAGCATTGTACAGCACTACAAGTGAAGGGATGGACGCTTCTCAACCAATCCCAGGAGTCCAATGTTGAGGAATGGCCTCAACCGCCATTCTAGCCACACTATCTGATGCGTTTCGCCCCCACCTCTGTGACCAAGCCCTGTGGGCAGGATGAAACATGTTAAAGAGTATTGCCAGAACGTCAGCTGAGGCCATTCCTCAATATTGGACTCCTGGGATCAGTTGAGCAGTGTCCATCCCTTCACCTGTATTGGCTGACGCTCAGACTCATGCTCCCCTCTTGATATACTTTTCACATTGTGCAGCACTCTTATGAAGGAAGCAAACCCTGCATATGTCTTCAGAATGGCTATATATATATTAGATTTTTTACTTGCTTGTAATCATGGTACACAGAGCAGCTTAGTAATCCTTACTATCGAGGTAATGCGCCACCTACAGGCAACTGGACACTGGCATGAAAAAGACAGGAAGTCCTCTCCCAGGCATAACTCCTTCCCTGACAGAAAGGCTTCAGTTTTGTAGCAAGACGTAATCCGAAAACCACGAGGGGGGAGGGGGGGATTGGGGGAATCTCTGTGTACCGTGATGTACTCCAAGAAATGAATTCTATAGGTAAGTCAAAAATCAAATTTATGGCACATCACAGGGCACACAGCAGCTCTGTAATCCTTACTATTAGGGATGTTCCAAAGCACTTGAATGAGGGGGAGGACAACAAGCCAACTGGCCCCTAAAAAACTAACCATAAACAGGAAGAATTTCACACAGTGGCCTGAAAAACACTGCATCCAAAGGTAGCATTCTCAGCGGCTCTAACATCTAGCAGGTACAACCTTGTAAAAGTGTGAACTGAAGACCACGTAGTAGCCTTGCAAACTTGAGAAAGAGCTGATTGGTGATGAAAAGCCCAAGAAGCACTTACACTTCTGGTAGAATGAGCTTTCAATGGTAAATGAAGATCCCTTCCTTTCAGACCTAAGCTTGAGCAATAAGCTGACAAATCCAATAGGAAATAGACTTAGAAGCTTTCGTGACCTTTCTTAGGGTCCTTCATGAAGCATGAAGAGGGAATCCTAGTGCCCAACCGTTGCAGTTGACTTCAAGTAAATTCAAACCGCATGGACCACATCCAAAGTGTGGAGAGCCTTGTCCCTCAGTGACAAAAACGTCGCCTGAGGTTGAAACACCACCTTATATAGGTGGAGCACCAGAAATGGCTCTTTATATGAAAGGTCCTCCAGTTCCAAAACCCTATGAAGTAATGGCTACCTGAAACACATCCTTTCTTGTGAAAAGAACCAAAGGTAGGTCCTGGGGAGGTTTAAACTGAGATTTTTGTAAAACTAAGAGTAGCAAATTGAGATCCCAAGGAGTCAAAAAGTGGCCTGACCAGAGGGACAATCCGCGTAACATCCTGCACAAAGGCACGTATGCAAGGAATGACTGCCAATTCCGAAATTTGACTGTACTCAAGGTCTGTACTCAAGGACACTAGAAAATTCACACCCGAAGAACAGCCTTTTCCCCTGGTGACAACTGCTGCCAGCTGAGAAAGTCCACCTTCCAATTTTTCACTCCTGGAATGTGGACGGCAGACAGAGCCAGAAAGTGAAACGAGATCCTCTTCTTCCTGGGCCTCCTGACTTCATGTGCCTCCTTAATGATTTACTCTTACATTGATACCCTGCAGCTGCTTTGTTCAATACAGGAGAGCAAGGCAGATCGCCTGCAGTTCCAGAATGTTGATGGGCAACAACCACTTCTGTGGAGACTAAGTTCCCTGCACCACAAGGTCATTCACAACTCCCACACCCCCAATCCATTCAGCTGGCGTCCGTTGTCAGCACTGTCCAAGAGAGGAGGAGAAAAGATTTTCCTGTCTCCAACAGCTGCAAAGACACCTATCGGTCTGGAGACTAAAGAGTGCTGGGATGTAAGGACATTGGAGAATCCAGGGACTGCGTCTTTCTGACCCATGCCAGTAGGACATTCCATTGCAGAGGCCTGGAATGAAACTTAGCAAAGGGGACTGCCTTGAGGGAGACAATCATCTTTCCCAAGATTCACATGCAAAGGCAAATCGAGGGGTGTCAGTTTTCATTAGCAATGAGCCCTTGTAAAGCCAACTCGGGGGTTCCCTAGGACTTTGGGTATAAGCCCCAGCCTGCTTTTTCACCAGGGCCCCTGATGGTGTAGATGGACTTGCAGCAAGCTGGGACCAGGTCACGCCCCCCAGGTATGCCTAGCTGAGGATGTAGAGACCACTAGCACGTGCAGAGTACAACGAAAGGAGACCTAAGGGAATCCAGGAACATGCTGAGGTAAGGGTGGGCGGCAGGCAAGCACACACAGTAGACAATGCCGTGGTCGGTACACAGGAAGTCAGACACAGAGTATGCATAATAATAAGGAAACAGAAGCGCAGAGAACTGTGAAGTTGCTCAGGCAATGCAGGCTGCACTGTGCATATGTATACAGTGCCTTGAAAAAGTATTCATACCCCTTAAAATTTTCCACATTTTGTCATATTACAACCAAAAATGTAAATGTATTTTATCAAGATATTATGTGTTAGACAGACACAAAGTGGCACATAATTGTGAAGTGGAAGGAAAATGATAAATGGTTTTCAATGCTCAGAGGAAGTGCTGATTGCTCCCGCAAAAGCAGATCACCCAAGTACCCCAGAATATATACAATTCTGGACTGCAGCAGGCTCAGAACTGGAGCCAGGACCATGGTGAATATTCTGTGGCTGTGGACAGGCCAATCGGCAGGGCCACTCATTGAAAATGATGTTCCTCCACTGCAAACTATAGGAACCTCTGATGATTGGAAAATATTGGGACATATATGTAACCATCCTTTATGTCTACTGACACTAGAAAATCCCCTGGCTGTAGAGAACAAATGTACTGTACATATTCGCCAGCACACCACGGATCTCCAATGAGGTCCAAAAAAGGTTTTTATTCCAAAAAGATCACATCACAAGAGAAAGTGCAACATTTCGGAGCAGCGCAGGACTCCTTCACCCCCATCACATGCTGACGAAGGGGTCCTATGCGGCTCCGAAATGTTGCACTTTTTGTGATGTGATCTTTTTGGAATAAACACCTTTTTGGACCATATTTGAGATCCGTGGTGTGCTGGCGAATATGTACGTTTGCTTATGTTTCCAGTCCCAGCTGGTAGTCTCTACAGCATCATCCACTGGTGATCCATACTTCCAGAAATGTGTGCAAAAGGAATATAGTTATAGATTGGCTGTAGAGAGGTCACCACTGACTGTACCAATTCCATCCTGAACTTTCATAGACTGAGAAACCTGTTAAGATGTTTGAAGTCCAATATGAGAAAAACATTGCCGTTCAGTTTTGAAACTGTGAAGAGGCTTGAATATAGTCTGCAGAACTTTTTGTCTTTTGGGTCTGGCATGCTCACTCCCTGAGAAAGATGATGATCAGGGGCCTGCAGAAGAGTCAATCATTTTGCTGATTCAAATAAACATTTGAAAGCATGAAGCGTGGAGGGAGAAAGCTCTGAAACTCAAGCTTATAGCCGTGAGTCACTGAGTCAGACCCACTCATCTGCTATCTCCCCTTCCAAACTTCCACAAAAGCCTGGAAATGTACCCCTTCCCACACAAGTGGGGGTGCCCCTTCAAGAGGATTTGATGTCCGATTTTATTGGCTGGGAGCCCAGGACTTTTTTACAAAATGGGGACTGACGTTTTGACTTGGAAGTTGAGGCCTGAGAGTGGCGAAAACAAAAAGTCTCAAAGAAGAAATGGGCAGAGCAGCCAAGCTTTGAGGCGTGTGCTTGCCCTTTTTCTTAAGAGGTAAAAGTGTACGCTTACCATCCAAAATCTATTAGATATACTTACCCAGATCAGGCCCAAACAAATTTTCTCTATACAAGGGAAAACGTGCCAGCAACTTCTTGCAGGGAGGCTCAGCAGACAAACACTTTAGCCGAGGAAACTAGCACATGTACATTGATAACAGGCTCAAATGAAAAATCTGCTGAATGGAATCCTTCAAGGCATCCACAGCAAAATAGAGACCACAAGGAAAATCCAATAAAAATCCACCATACGTGCACCCACATTGGCATCTGCACATTGACATCTGCACCAGAGGACTCCAACCCTCTCGGGAGACATTTTGCCCCAACAACAAGTCTATGCAGAGCAGTCCCCTGCCAATGCAAAAGATGCTTTGAACATAGATTCCAGATGTTTGTCAGAAGCATCCTTAAAACCTAGAATGTCATTCACTGGGCATATAAGATTGTTTTTGAGAT